GATCTAAGAACGGAAATTATATATATTTTCAGAGTCTATCATAAAGATTATTTCACGGATCGTATAGAAGAAGGAGAAATAGATCCTCGTATAGCATCGATCCCTACACATTTGGACGAAACTGCTGAACAATTGGTTCGTAAACGTATTTTCGATAGACTACGAACTGTTTATCAAGTCAGCTATATACATCCTTGTAAGCAATAATAAGGAAAATAAATATTAAATAAATACTTCGTTTGTTTAAAAACTGACACGTGACGAAATATAGGGATCGCGCGCGACGCAAAGCAAGTCGAAGAGATCAAGGAAAAGGATCTGCAAAGTGAATTAGTAGCGTACATTCGTGATTTATATTTCAATCCTCATGATGAGAAAGTTCTTGCACCTCCAATTACGGCAAAAAGAAGTGAGTAGTATTAAATATAATTTCAACTTTGATTGAACGCATTGAAAACGCATTGAAATATATTTAAATGTGTCTAGTGCTTGGCTACATTAGACCAAAACTATTACACGGAAATGTTTCGATGTACGAAGACACTTTCGGTCGTACAGGTGCGACAATAATTATAAAAGAAAACAAGAAAAAATATGCAACTTCTAAAAAGGGAGAAATATCAAAAGATAATGACAAACCTGATTTTTGTAAAGAACCTGTCATGAAAAATAAATAATTTAATTTTTCTATCTCGGTAAAAATAAGCTTCTTTTTATAAGTAGCACTTGGAAGTAACTTTGTATCGCACAAATATGTATGTATCGTTTAGTAATTAAAATGCATGAAGTCACCGTTTATGCAATGTTACATATATGTACATAGGTATAGTGCAAAAACTTACAAATGTAAAAAGTAATCTTCTTGTAGCTTAATTTCTCTTCGTTTATCGAATATTACAACTGAAACACATCGATGAAGTAAACATAAATTCAATTCTACAAATTCTACATATAAACAATATTATCTACGATTATTTTTAAATGAAATAAACGCGATTGTAAACTCTTTACTGAAATACTGCAATAAAATTGGAAAAGCCAACTTCCACGTAACCTTGATAGATGGCGCATCGATATGTCAAAGAGTTACGACGATTTTAAATTCGGTCAATAGATTTCAACAATTGTTAAATATATGTATTATATTCGCAAGTCTTTAGAATGTATTACTTACTTTACAAGAAAAAAAAATTTAATAAAATATTCCCAAAATTTCAGTAATCTAGTAATTTTCAGAAAATCTCACTGTTAATTATTAATAATTTATTTTGTACGTTATAAATTATCAAAACAATTTTTTATGCATTTCAGATAGCTTTAAGTCATAAATATTTAATTATCTGCCGTGTACGATTGAATGTATGACTCCATTCCTTATTGTACTTACACAAGCAAACTAAGTTTCCTTATGACATGATATAAGCAAGCTTGCATACTACGTAATAAATACAAAAATTTTAAAAATGATACGAGATGTTATAATACGTTTAATAATAAGTGTTATTGGCATAATTTTTGCTATATCTGCATTCATTGTATTGTCTGTTATATATAACAACTACAATGTTGGATTTTGGTCGATCTTATCAGGTTAGCATTGCTCATCCAATGATCTATATAACGATTATCTGATAATTAAAATTAATCGCTAAGTCTATAGTATAAAAAATCAATCTTTTATAGCAGTAATATTGCCTACTTATTTTTTATAAAATAAAAATTACCTGTTTTCTGCTATACACCGTTTGTCTTCCGATTTATAGTTTAACTATGGAACTATCTCTTCATTCTCAATAGTTATAAAATATTTTTCGTACTATTTGTAAAAATATTATTTTTTACCTATTCTAAACATATAATGTAATAAATACTATTACTTTAGAAATTTCATATTGTTAATATCAAATGTAAATTATTCACAAAATACAAAATATTTCTATTTAATAAATTTAGCAGAAATTTAATGTATGTAAAATGTTGTTTCATATATAACATAGGTGTGTTAGCTGCAGTTTGTTTTCATTTACATTGGGTCAAAGGAAAAGGAAGTTTAGAAAGATGGCATACCGAAACTACATTGAGAAATATAAATGTTATTGGTTTTATAAGTGCAGTGTCAGGAATCACTGCATTAATTTGGTATCTCTTCCTTACATTTTATTACAAGATTCGTATGTATATTATTATAAAATATTGCGAAGTAAAGATATGACAAAGCATAAATCTATATTTTCAATATTGCAGCCATTGAACCTATTGCTGAAAGTACAGCAATAACAGCTGTTTGGTCTATGATCTGTGGAAAATGGGGTATTTCCTTGATGTATTATTCTCATACATATGGTTCAATTATCGCAGAAGGCTCTGTACCCATATTAGTAGAAAATAATGCTTAATAATTTTTTATGCAAACAAATATAACAAATTTTTATAAAGAATAATTTTATTAAATATAATTGTCGGAAAATATATTAACAAAATAAATATATTTTCATAACTTAACGTTGTAAATTATGTAAATATTATACAAATATATTTGTTGAAATATAGTTCTTTATAAAACAAATAAGATTTTCAGTTTTATAATACTCTGTATATTAGTTTTATAATACTCTATTTTTTTGGAAGTCTTAAATATTTATTCAAAAATTTACAAAAAATAGATCACGAAATACTTATTTAACCATCACAGTAACATAATAATTTTTCAAAATACATAGCAAATACATTAAAAAATATACAAAAATCATAAAAACCCATAAAAACCAATATAAAAATACAAAAATACAACTTGATTTTAGTACTATATTTCCTTTAATTTAAATTAATGCTTTGTAATAATAATCGTCATATACATAAAAAAGCAATATTTAAATTAATTTTAAGCTGGTGTTATTTTATACAGGGGATAAATTAATGTATAAAGACTTACAATTGAAGATACCATACCAAGTATACCAATTGTTCCAGGAGTAAATTTAGTAAAACCTAGTGCTGTCAAAGGAATCCACAAATCACATCCATTTTTTATTGTATCCATTACAATATCTCCATGACTTTTTAAATAACGTAATAATTTATATTGTTTCCATAAATAAGGTGAGAATTTCGGTGCCCTCATTAATACATCCTTTCCTTCGTGTTCAAGAATTTTCATGATTTCATAAATGTCTCTTACAAGATTCATGATAATACTCATTAACCAATATTTATTAGATATTTTACTCCATTTTTCAATATTAACTTTACATAGTCCCACACGACCAATCCAAATTATATGATCTGCTAATAAAAATAGAGCATTGGCAATTTTTGATAAAGTTAAACTAACTCTTATGGTTACATCTGGATATTTCATCATTTTCAAAGCAAAATATAAACTATCTAAACATCGTCCAAGACGCAACACTACAAAATAAAAATAAAACATTAGTATCAAATAATAGTTACGTTAAAATTATAAATATCAATTCAAATGAAATACATTTTCTGAATGAGCTAAATGTATATTCTAAACTTCTTAAGACTTCTGCAGAATGTTGTGTACTACGAATATTCTGTCCATAATACCAATAAGCTCTGCTTCCATATTGTAGTAATCTATAAAAATATTATTAAAAAAATAATTATACAATATTAATATTACCTGTTACATATTGACACGTTACTACGTTTTATTGTAATCAAATTAATATATTCCTCTGTGTAGGAAATGATATATATATATATATATTTTCATAAAATTCTTATTATAAAACATTTTTTGGTATATTATAGTGAGAAAAATAGTACTTTGAATATTTAAATCGTAATGCTACGTAATAAAATGTAGGTTATGTAAAATATAAAACTATATATTAGTAACAATAATAAAAAATAGTTCTTTTTAATTAATTTTAATATATTTAAAAAGTAAATAAATTACCTGATAATTCTATCTCTGCCTACTGTTTGTTCATTTAACTTTATTACTATATCCATGGCGTTTTCAGGTAATGTGAAAAATAAAGTACTTCAAGAAATAATTATATTAAATTAGTACATAAAAATAATTTATAACAGTTTCACTGTAATGACATTTATTTATAAGCACATATAAACAATATAAACTATTAATATTGTCATCAAACAATTTAACTCAAATGAATTGATAAGTAAAGTATGTACGATGTATTAATGATTATTAAGAAATTTGTCATTATTTGCAACATAATCATGCGAAGTCTTTCTTATATCAGTCATACATTTATCGCAATACACGTATCATAATAAATTATTCAAATGTAAATATGTATGTACTTATTTAATACCACCAGCGCCATCAAGTTTGATTTAACAAACCCGCCATTTTCAAACATTTAAAATTTGATGATGAGCTCTAAAATTAACTCTAATATTGAACTCAAAATGAAATATTTAAGTAACTATTCCTTTCGTGAAAAATGAAATAGTTTTATTATTATTAATGAATGAAAAGTAATGTGTAAGTATATTTATAGTACAAAAGTGCATATAAGATAAACTGCAATGTTATATATCATATAAAATGATGAAAGAAATGAAAGCATAATTTATATTACAATTATTAAGTATTCTTAAAAATCTGAAAAGCTTTTCCTAATTATGAATTAATAAGTTATGGATTAATTTATTGTAGTTGAAGTCTCACAGAGAATAGAAAGGGAAACACATACAAAATGATAATTATGATCGTTTTTCATGAAATAAAAAATCGCGCATGTATGTTATACTAACTGACATCGCACGACCTTTATGTCTGAATCCTGGTGTAAGTAAAAGAGCATTCACTGTAACATTTCATTAAAATAAAGTTTATATTAACATCCATTCATCTCATAAAATGCAATATTAAATGAATGAATTATTAAAACAAATGAATTATATATGAAAAAATTATTACCTGCAATATAAAACAGAAGCAAGTTATTAACTGTGCTTCCAATCCATATACAAAGAACAAGACAAAGTATTATCCCTAGATAATACTGCAACAAATAAATAAATAAGTTTGTAAATACTGTATCTAATATATCCAATATAATTTATATATCCAATATAATTTTTCTCAACTAAGGATCTTTTTATCTTCTTAACTCACCACATTAGGACGATCATTTCGTATTTTTAACATCAATTTCCACAAATTTTGTAATTGTAAAATTATTACAGATAAATTTTGACATATCTCATTTAATTTTTTTTCTTTTTGCCCTGTCCATTTATTAACAGGGCTTAGCCAAGATGATACAGGTGGCACAAGATAATCGACCAAAGCCAATACAAGAAGAGTTACGGATATTATTGTAAGTATAGCAGGTTCCAAAATCCATATCAGACTGTAAACATTTTTTTATAAATATTATGAAATTATTTATCAATCATTTTATTAGATATGTTTATAAAAATAATCAATAACTGACATAATACTTTACATTAATAAATTTTATTTAATAACATTATTAAAAATTCCCAAAAAGAAATAACAAATTTTGAGCCATAAATAAACTATAGATATGATAGACAAAAAACGTATTTCTTTCATAGTATTAAGAAAATAATACTTAATAGAAAATATATATTATTATATATTTTAATAATATTTCTACTCACAAAAATATTATGGTTGTAATTCCAAGTATGAGACCAGGATACCAAGACCGTTCCCATAATAGAATGGAATTTAATGGAAGTATTACTTCACGCCAACATTCCATTCTACGTTTTAATTGTTTCATATGCTTTTCCTGCAATGAGATTATATATTGTTTGAGAACAAAAATGAGTGTCACTGTCATTGATTTTTCTACTACAGTGGGACTACATGATTTAATACAAAAATCCAGCATTAATTAAACATTAAATGAAATACATCGACAATACTTCAAATATTCATCGTTTAAAAAACATAAAATCTTACCCTTTCTATTACTGTGTTATCAGCCATCCTGATTACTAAATAAAGTATTCAAATTCACTGTGAAGAATAGTATTACGATAAAAACTTGAAACTATGTCGAGGTTGTGGTACAATGCAACTACAATTTATTCACATTATCCAAGTTTATATTCCGTTTCATTCAAACATTTCTTTATTCTTTGATTTGATTACCGTGATGTGTCTTGAATAAAAGTCAGAGACGCCGGATACTTTTTGCTTGAAAACACACGAAATGACGAAGAATCGACTTCTAGTTTCGAGATTATTGTATCTCGCACGCGATTGGCTATCAGTTCAAAATGTTGGTTATTGCAGGCGATACTGTGCTGATGTTGTGACGTTAAAGATTTTCTAACAGTATACTTCAAATAATCGCGTCCCAAACGCGTTTAGTTGAAATTTTATTCAAAATTTGCTAAATATGGCTGCTGTGAGTTCTGTAAGTACTCGATGATACGTATTAATTTCTGTGTGAGAATTTTAACAGCGGTACTTCTTGTTTATGTTCTGGTTAAGACAAGCTTCCCTGGATATAACTTCATTCTCGAATAAATAAGTCATCTATCATCAATTATTCTTTTTAGATATCAAATGTCGAAAACCTATCTCCACAAATTATTCGACGTGTAGCTAAGGAAATGAGTGAATTAGCTGCACAACCACCCGAGGGTATCCGAATTATTTTAAACGAAGAAGATGTTACTGATATTCAAGCTATCATAGAAGGACCATGTAAGATTAAACCTCTTTTAATTAATTTCCTCGTAAAATTTCAATGGAATATTATATACTATTTAAAAAATTGCACAGTTATTGAAATATAACCTATCCAAATGTCAGATTTACAATGCATATGTAAATATACCTATATATGTGTAAACGTATATATATCTATATACCTATGTGTGTATATAGATATAAGTTTATTTTTATCAATTATAAAAAAGATTACCTACATAAAAAATCTGGATATAAATATAGTTTAGGTACATTTGAAATTGATGAATATATACTTACAAAATCTGCTTATTCTACAACAGTATTATTGACATTCATATTTATTTACATATGGTCCATTGTCATTAAAAATATTACTTGTTTTACAAATTTATATCTGTGTATAATATTCGTTAAATTCCATGAAGTTTTGCCTATATATTATCATATTTATGAGTTAAAAGTATAAATATTTTTAATATTAGCGGGAACACCATATGCTGGTGGTTTCTTCAGAGTAAAATTAGCTCTTGGTAAAGACTTTCCTCAAGGACCACCAAAAGCATTTTTCCTTACAAAAATTTTTCATCCAAATGTTGCAAAAAATGGAGAGATTTGTGTCAATACTTTAAAAAAAGATTGGAAATCAGATCTCGGAATTAAACATATATTACTAGTAAGCATATATTGTAATTTATAAATAAATACAACTTTTTCTTAATTAGTATAATTGACAACATACCTATTTTATATTTATAGACTGTAAAATGTCTCTTAATAGTGCCAAACGCAGAATCTGCTTTAAATGAAGAAGCTGGTAAATTACTTTTAGAAAGGTATGATGATTATTCTGAACGAGCAAAAATGATGACAGAAATACATGCACAGGTAAATTATTATTAGTATATATACTAAATTTATATATAATATATAATAATAAATAATGAGAAATGCATTTTTGATTTAGGGAGGTGGAAAAGGCAGCAAAGCAGGTCTGGAAAGTTGCACATCCTCTGAAGTCGGAGGACCTCTCCCAAAGAAGCATGCAGGAGATAAAAAATTATCGGCAGAAAAGAAAAAAATATTAAAAGACAAGAAGAGGACACTTAAAAGATTATAAAAAAATCAACATAATTTATCTATCTTTTATAATTTAAAACACTGGTGTGGTAACGTTGCCTCATATTGTACACAATTATTGCATAGTAAAAATTTATTATCTAAACTCGACTGATCTTATTATTAAGTATGTAGAAAATTAATAATTCTAGAAGCATTAAAAATGACTTCCTAAGATACAAACAAGTACAACTTTGTAGTGATCTACTTTATAATCAAGAGTGGAAAATAATATACCCACTCTATGGTATCCATTAGTGAATATTTTTACATATGTACAAAATGATACCTCGTGTGATTATTTAAATTAAATAAAAAATGTTCTTCAAATAAAAGTTTTGTTTCTACTTTAATATTTATAATAATTAATTTTATGTACTTTTTAAAATAATACTTATCTTTGAGTTAAAACGATTAAATATAAATTTTTAATTAGACGGGAAATAAAAATGGTTTTATTTTCAAGAACATTGTTCTTTATTAGATAATGATTCGTCAGTTTCTTTGCCTCAGTCTTGTACCACTGCATTGCCATTCATATGCTGCATGAATAAAACCATGTACATTGTCTTACAAGCCCAAATACTGCACAGTAAAATATTTCATTAGTAGATGACTAGAAGATAACAGTATGTCACAGCCTTATTCCACTAGAAGCTATCAGCTACACATAGTGGTAGTTTTATTATTCGTGGTAAAAAAATTCATTGAACATAATTTACAAAGATCTGATACTACTAAACAGCAATACACATAATGTGTAGTATCAGTATATAAATTATGTTAGAAGATAGATTCTTAAATATTTCAATATTTATTCATAAAAATTAATTAGATTAAGGGCTAGAAGCACTTCTGTACTTTGATAAACAACAACTTTTAAAGATGAATTTTACTGTATTTTTCATCTGATAACCACACACGCACGATAGTACATACAAATCCATACAGTCTTTACATCATAACTTTTTTTAATTATTTCTTTTTTTGTTTTTCTTACCATAAAAAAATCTATGAACAAATCATTTTTCTTAAGTGTCAGTAAAAATTGTATGCCAATTTTCAAAGAAACCGTCAAAAATAAAAAAAGATACCCATTGAAAAGGAATTTCTTATAACATTTGCTAATGATACAATTATACTTATTTTTATATATTCTCATGAAAATTAGGGAAACACATTGTATTGTGTTAAGTCAGATCAAAACAAAATTTTAAAAGTGTGAAGGTTTGTGACATTGTTACTTTACTTCTTTCACATAAGCTTCCAATTCTGCATCTAATTCTTCAGCGGTAGGAGTTTTTGTCGCTTGCCGGCTGCCCCCTCTGCCACCACGCCGACCGGTTCCACGACCTTTAAAAAAAAAAATTAAAATCTTAATATATTTTTTTATAATTTAATCACTTTTATTAGTATGAAACAATTATATACCTCTGACAGATCCTGCTCCACGGCTACCCCTAAAGCGGGACTGAGGTCTCTGTGTATAATTACTGCCGCTAAGTCTCGGGCCTCCACGGATAGACGTGACTGGTATTTCAGAGGTAGCAACTTGTATGTTCATTTCACGACCTGCCGATGTATACCACATATTGCAATAATAGATGTGAATAGTTGTGCAAATCATAATTCACAATAACTTCTTTGAAATTTGTTTTTCTTTAATGTCATCCCATGTTGGAGTATTTATGGAAGGATAAAAGAGAAAATGCTCAAACTGTATGTTGCTAGGTATAAACTGGAGACCAGATTAATAAGTGATACTGAAACCCTAAATATAGGCGGAATTTATAATTAAAAAGAGACATTCAAAGCAAAACTTATAGTCCAAACATAAATTTAACTACACACCATCTAATGGTACGCCATTATATTGTTTCATTGCTTTAATAGCATCTGCTCTTCTTTCAAATATAACATCTGCAGAGCCTAATGATCGACCTGACCTATCATAATGTACTGCTGCTGACTTTAAGGGGCCAAATTCACTAAATAATTCCTAGAAACACACAAATATTTACATTATTGTAAATTTATACTAATCTTTTAAAAATAAAAAAAAAACTTTATTTGTTTTTTCTGAATTTGATATTGAAAATCAATTTTTTTCATTTCAGCTAATGTTAGAATAGTAATTTTATATTATAGTAAAAAATACCTGAATGTCTGAATCTGATACTCCAAAGTCAAGATTTGATACGAGAAGTTTGGTCGTTCCTGCACTACCTATTGCACTTCGGCCAACCTTTTTTACTCCATCGAACATGTCGTGTTTCCAAGCACTGTTTACATCGCCCTATAAATAAATTTATTATTGTACAAAATTTGTAATATTTAATATTACCTAAAACTAATATAAATCATATATTTGTACAGCATAAAAGAAAATTAAATTGAAATCAAATGAAAATTTTATTTTTTTTACTTCTTTATATTGGATATTAACATTCAAGTGTATAAAAAAAAATATACGTTATCGGTCTGAAAATCAACGATCTAGCATTCCTATCATAAGAGCGCGGACTCATATTTTTAAAGAATTTTAAACTGAATACTCTCTTCAGGCAGATAAAATGTTTCTTATTTGAACTGTATAAGAATTATACGAATTATATTTCTATTCTACACAACTATTTTAGCTTGAAATACAATGGTTAATCTATCCCTAGATTAAACTGTTTCGTACATAAGCACTTAAGGCGGAAGTAATATGATAGGTTCTCGTATACGATACACGTGACAAAGTTAATACATCGTAAATAATAAAAATAATAGCAATAAACAAGTCTGATTTCTTACCCTTGTATACGGAAGAGAATTTCTTGTAATGCCACCACGATTGCGTCCCCGCATGACGCCACCACCAACTCTTTGCGTTCTGCGTGCTCCTCTACGAGGTGTGTTACCGGCACCTCTTCCACGTCTACCACTGCCGCCGCGAGGTCTAGTCCCTTTGTTTTGCTTGATAATATCATCGAGACTCATGTCTATTTTATCAACCATCTTCATTTGTGCTGACTTTCGAATAATGACACCGCCACACAAAAATGAGTAAAACCAACCTCTTTCGTCCTCGTAATGATGGCGACGAACGAAGACGAAACAAGCGCGCACAGAAACCTGGGTATAAAGACCGTAAACCATACAATAACTTCTTAGAAGTACCAATTCCACGCTATATGATTCGTCGATCATAGCGCTCTCTACCAATGCATCGATGAAACCAAATAACGGTTGATCTTTTAAATCATCAATTATAATGATTTCATTCCATTATCTATGTTTCTAACTTAATTTATTTTAATAGAATTGTATATATATATATTTTTTACATTACTCTCCATTAAATAAAAACATATTTCTTTCTAAAAATGAATTCATACTTTACAATTTATATTCTTTATTCTTTTTTTGCTTTAAACAAGTTACATTATAAATAGCATATTTAATTTTTAATCTTTTGAATATCAAAAATATATATAGATACAAATGTATCTTATTTTTTCTTAGATATTATTATAATTCATCGTGTTCCTCATTTATATCACTTTCATCAATTTCTTCATTATTTTCATTCAAATCTGTGGAACTACATAGCTTTGAAACATTTATGCACAATTTTTCTTTAATATTATTTTCTTTATGAGCAAACAATGAAATCATAGAGTCTTCAAATTCTTCCACTATTCCTTCACACTGAAATAAAATACACAAAAATAATAATTTATAAAAAATTGTAAAACTTAAAATAAAACAAAAATACTTACATAATATTTTAAGCTTTTATTTAGGTCATTGTCCTGAATAATATCAACTTTGCTCATTTCAGGATTCATACCGCCAGACGGACTAAGTAAATTTAAGATTGTTAATTGACCATTTGATTTATATGTTGCTCTTACATAGTCTGACATCTTTTCACAAATATTATCTAGGATGTCAGATATGTGCACCTCAGATTGTGCAAGTGGAATCTTTAAATACAAGTGCTTAAATAAAAATAAGTTTTAAATATACAAAAAATATAAAAAAATCATTATTACCTTTTTATGAATAACATTTCCTTGTGCATCTAATCTATAATTTCCTATCTCAATTTTTTTTGAAGGATCAATTTTTGCCAATTCTTCTTCAATTTCTTTTATTGTTGATCTACAAACTATATATTATTAATATTAATTTATTATAATTGTTTTTCATATTCAAGATAAATAATTACAACTTATTACTCAATACTCATTTTACTTACCTAAACATTTTAAAAGCTTAATATCAATTTCCGCAGCTTTTATAAAACAATTTGTAAATAACAGAGAAAATATTACTATTAGAATTTTCATCTATAATAAAGATAAGTATTAATACATTGTATTAAAAATAATTTACAAAGAAAAGGAATTATAAATATTTAGTTTATACCTACATTGTATTTATACTCTATTTAATATTATTCAATTTATTTTTTTTTGTAATGATGAAAGAAACACGTGTATTATAATAAGTATATACACATGTATACATTAATTGTCATATACACCACATCCACAATATCAAATACTTTAGAAAACACGAATAGGCTGTCATCACGTGTAACTTTGAGAAATACCAATATAAAATATAAAAACACTATTAAGTACAAAAAGATACTATATTATCATAATTTAAAACTGCAACTATTCCAAAATTATAAGGCATAAATTTTTATGAATGTACAGTACAAATTTTAAAACACTGTACATAGCGGTCCTTATCTAATACTTTTGTATTATTTAATTAAATGTGAATATAGAAATAAGAAAATTTATTTATTTGTTTCTATCACTTTTTAGAATTTTTATAAAAGATTTTTTATAAAAGTAAAACTAATTTTAACTTAAATTTAAAAAAACGATATTTTAATACTATATTGAAAACAAGGAATGATATCTTTTTTTATAAACTATAATATTTTATTTTACACTCTATAAAATCTACATATGTGTATATATCTATTCGTCATAGCTATGGATCATCCCATTTGTTGTTGCGATGTAAACACGTGCCACCCCTTAAAGTGGGAAGTCCATGTTGCTTTTTAAATTGACTAACCATGTTTCAATGTTTCACATAAAATTACGTTTGTATTTCGTGAAGGTTCCTACATAAATAGTGGCTATAACTTTACTCTTTTAATATTTATGTTTATTAATATGTATAAGTTTTGAAACAGTAGATAAAATAACTATGCGAAAGTATGTATTACAAATTTAATGGAGAACAATTAAAAAAAAACAATTAAAAAAAAGCATAAAAATATATGAAACCTTAAATAAAAATTGTTTATAGTATATATTTTATCCAGTGGTCTATTGTTAAACTATACGCGTTAAAACACAACTTTAGCTAATACATATTATGCTGCAAAATATGATTTTTATTGTGAATTTTTTCAACTTAAAAATTGCCTAGAAAATGACGCTATGATATGGTGTAATTTAGAGAAGAATTAAGACAATATTGCTTTTTATATTATATGTTACAACAACTTATTATTAAATATGACTTAAGTGAAAAAAGATATAATTGTCAAAATGGAAGTGTGGTGGATTTCTCGAGTAATAGCTCATCATCCTTATACCATTCTAATGACAATACTTATTTTTTCTTCAACATGCTTGATTGTTCCCTTAGCTATTAAAAAGTTTCCAGATTTCTCTGATCCTCAATTAGTAAGTACATAATCAAAATATAAAGATAACTTATATATCATGTTTTATTAATCTATATTTCATTTTTATCAAGGGTTTTGAAGCAAGAGGAACAATATTAGCTCAACGGCTTATTGCTTGGCAAAACTTATTGGAATCAAATAAGCCAAGCGGACAGCTAATTGATAATCCTTTGGAACATTACCATCATATGCAACAGGTATTTTTATCAAAATTTATGTGATATATTATTTTAATTTATTTGAATTATATATAAGTTACTTAAAATATTGCATGTAAAATATAATTTGTGGAATTTACAAACTAACATTATAATATTCCAGAACTTAATTGTCAGAAGAAAATCTAAGAATAAGAAAAAAGGAAGGAAGAAATATCAGAAACAAATAATTAATACAAAAGAAGAAATAGATAAAGTTGAAATTAAAGATAAATGGGAAGAATTAATAGAATTAAAAAATAAAAATAAAAGCCAAGATTATATTGAAAATGAGAATTTCTTTTGTAATTTACCATTACCTGGTTATGCACGTGTGGTTATTGGTAAAAATTCTAAAGATGCAAACTTATGGTCAATGGAAGGAATATTAGCACAATGTTATATTGATGCAGAATTGAGATCAAATACACATTTTCCTTCCTTATGTCAAACGCAAATAGAACATAATAATATAGGACAAAAGTGTTGCAGAAGTTGGTCACCAGCGAATTATGTTGCATTTTTATCTAATCGAAGTTCTTGTTTAGGTGTAACAGAAAATGATCTTAGTCGTGTAGAAACTCTTTTGAAAAGATGTGTTTATTATTATCAAAATGGTCATTTGACATCAAATTGTGAAGAAGACTTAAATTGTCAAAAACATGTTCCAAGTGAATGCTACACACACAATGCAGCTTATCATTTGCTGCATTACTTATTAGATATTGATTTTATTTCAAATCATGTAAGAAAATTAATTTCTATAATATTCTTTATATATAGTGTACTCTTTGTTAATAAAAGTTTTCATACTGTTACAGAAGCAAGATTCTCAAAATAAACTAAACTCAACATTGAAATATGCAATGTTGTTTTTGCCAATTGCTACAAGCTCAGCAACTCTAGATTTTTATAAAGGACTGAGTACTAGTGATTTATCTTATGGAAAATTTTGTGTGAAGGGAATGCAATTGGGTCTAAAAAGTACATTATTTGACCGACTATTAGTATCAGATTCTATTTTATTACTTGTTGGTTTTGCCTTTGTAACGATTTGCATATGGGCATATACTGTTTCTTTTCTATTAACTGTCACAACCATTATTGCAGTAATTTTTAGTCTTGGAATTTCATATGCATTTTACACTTTAATTTTACATATCAAGTTTTTTCCATTTATGAATCTTTTGGCAATCGTCGTTGTTGTAGGTAAGAACTGAAGAATGCATGATAATTAAATTTAATAAAAGATTTTTAATAATAAAATATACAATTTTATTTAAAGGAATAGGAGCGGATGATGCGTTCATATATTGCAAAATTTGGCAGAGAGGAAAGGAACAAAAAATATCAAATAATGGATTGGTCAAATTGGTACAAGAAACAATGAAACATGCTGTTCCGTCTATGTTTGTTACGTCTTTAACTACCGCAGTAGCATTCTTTGCATCAGTTGTTAGTAATGTTACTGCTATAAATTGCTTCAGGTGTGTAAAATAATTATGTAATAAATATTAAAATATTAGAAAAAAAGAAATTTAGACTTTACTAATCGCACCAATTCAGTCTATTTTCAGGAATAACTGTTATTGCAAATTTCTTCTTAATGATTACCTGGCTACCAGCATGTGTTGTAGTGTCAGAACGATTCAAATTAGGCTTTTTATCGCCTGCAAATTTTATAACACGAAAAATTATTCGACCTTTACGACTATTTGGAGATAAAGTAACAATTTGTTTTAATACTATTCTTGCGAGGATAGTTATTAATTTTCGATGGTGCTGGTTGTTAAGTTTGGGTATCATAGCAATACTATGTTGCATCATTGTTTTCCACTACCCTGGTTTACAATTACCAGATACTGCTGATTTCCAATTATTTGATAGTTCTCATCCATTTGAAAAATATGATTTAGTATATTCTCGAAAATTTTGGTTTGAGAAACAGGGAACAGTATGTACAAAACAATTACAAAGTTTCATTTAATTTATCTCTTGCAAAGTTTTTGAATAATTAATAATTACAGATGGATAATGGAGATACGTTACCATTAAGATTTGTATGGGGCATTAAACCAGTCGATAACGGCAATTATTTGGATCCTGGTTTAATTGGTACACCCGAATGGGATGAATCTTTTGATGTATCTCATCCAGAATCGCAACTATGGCTTGAAAAATTTTGTCGTGATTTACGAGCACAACCTTTCTATCGTAATACTTTAGGACCTTTACTTCCTAACTGTTTTATCGAATCATTACATAATTGGATGCAAAGACGTTGTGAAGATCCTATTGATTCACGCATTAACTATACACCATGTTGTGAAAAAAGTAAATTTCCATATAATGCTAGCACTTTAGAACGATGTGCAGTTGAAGCTAATGCAAAACTATATAGTACTCCATCATATTTGTGGGTTCGTAATGGCGTTTCTGCTGGATTAAAATTTTTAAACGAGCCAAGTCTTAAACAATTACGAGTATCGAATGAAACAAATTCTGTAACAATGCCAACGCCTAAAATTAAAGCTTTAGTAGTCGAGTATGATAGCATTTATAATTACAGTCTCTCATTTTCAAATATGGATCATTTTTTCCATCAGGTAAAATAAAATTATGTTTTATAAATAAACATATATTTTTCATAAATATTTGATATTTTTAAAAGAGATATTTAATTATTAATAAAATCCCAATCTAAAAAATTATATTTTCGTAGGTTGAAACATGGATGCAAAATCAGTTAAAAAATGCTCCGTTAGGAATGCGTGGTGGTTGGTTCGTTAGTAGATTAGAATTTTATGAATTACAACGAACATTGTATGAAGGAACGCTTTGGGCAATGGGCGTTTCATTGATTCTAGCTCTTATAGTGTTGGTTTTTGTAACGTTTAATCCCCTTATCAGCTTGTATGCAATTGTAACAATCGGTGGAGCAATTATAGTAACAATTGCTGGTTTGATACTTCTTGATTGGAAATTAAATGTTTTAGAAAGTGTTGCGGTGTCTACAGCAATAGGTATTTCTTAATATAATAATTTTTATCTTCATAATTTATATAATTAAACATGTGTTATTTTTAGGTTTAACTGTAGATTTCAGTTTACATTACGTAGTAAGTTACAAAGCATCTACTTCTAAGGAGAGAAAAGATAAAGTAAAAACAGCTCTTGCACAAATGGCTGGTCCAACTTTAATGGCTTCTCTCACAAGCGGTGCGGCTGGTGCTCTTATGTTACCTTCATGTGTATTGGCATATATTCAAATTGGTATTTTTTTGTTACTCGTAATGAGTATAAGTTGGATATATGCTACATTCTTTTTGTGTCCAATATTAGCAATAATAGGTCCGTCATCTCAATTTGCTCAGTTTCAATATCCCAGGTAAATAACGCAATTGTAACAAATATCAGTTTCTGAACATTAATTGAATATTTAAACTAATACAGATTAAATCTATTATGGAATTATCTCCGCAAAAACAAGTCTGGAAATGTGCCTGAGTCAAGTACAGATAATAGTAGGGCTAGAAGAAAGATTAAAGGAAGGGGAATGTGGTCAGAATCTACTTTAAGTACATCTAGTACAGTATGTCAATTCCACTGTAATGAAATAGAAAGTTTCACAAGACCACCTCCATCGCCATCATTACCTCCATCTCCATCATCAGCATTACTTCAGTAAGATGAAGATTAAGTGATAAGATGGGCATATTTTAGACAAAAAAAAAGAAAAAATTACGATATAGTATATACACTTTCAGATTTTAAATCAATGAATTTACTTGTTCGTGTGTAACTTATGTCCTATATAATCTATGATCGTGTGTCACTAATGTGTCATTGGCTGTGTTCAAAATAGTTTTAAGATAATTATTTGTATATTCATCTATCATTAATATTCATTGGGCTTCCTATCAGTTACGCAGGTATATACACATTATATCCATTGTGATATGAGTCAGGTTTTAAGTGCCAAATATATCGCAGACTGTTTTATATTTTACGATCTATCTTGATTTCGGTTTTTAAAAAATTTTGAAAATACTCTATGTTAATGGATGTAGTTTTAATATAAGCGATAATACCGATAAAGTATTATACTATTAAACTTGCATTTACATATCCATGAATGCATTTTAACTTCTCATTTTTATTGAAACTTTTGTATTATAATATGTATTTATATTTAATTTGATATAAATATAGACATTTTTTTAGATGTGAATATTAATAGGTCTAATTACTTTTTTTTATATATACTATATATTTAAATACTAAACTAAATGTAATTCAAATAAATAGACTTTAATTTTACGAATAATTTAATATATTTTATCAATTACTATATAATTTTATCATTTTTATATCGTTTTAAAAAGAGAAAAAATAAAAATTTAAATTTATAACTTAAAGTTTATAACATTTAGAAATCGTTTAATTTTTAAACAAGACATTATAATAACTTTAATGGAATGGATGAATTTATTATGTATTTAAAAATAGAAAGATATTGATTCAGCTGTTTTACTGAATAATGCTTTCAACCTTATAAAAAGATGTATGTGTGTATGTCTGCAATTAAATTTAAGAAAAAGTAACGGAATGTGGTAGACATATTATACATCATTTTGTTTCAAGATTGTCTGTATTTATAAACTATATAAAATATATACTAAAAAAAGACTGACAGATTTTTTATAATTTTTGTTGATAGATGTTATTGAATATACAAGAAAAGTTTAAAATATATTTTTTTCATAAATAATTATTTAGAAATGTTTTCTGAGATGTAATGAGCAAAACTTAATACAAAATAAACATTTATGTATTACGTATTCTCTAATAATTTGTTTAATTATTATTTGATTATTATTATTAAATTCATAATATTACAAATTATTATATTTAATACAAAACGAAATTTATCCTTTTAAACACATTTCGTTATATAAAAAAGAAGATATAAATTGATAATTTATGTAGTACATCATGCTTTCAAAAAATAAAACTTTATGCTGTTAAAAGAAATAATCCATTTTGTAATCTGTATATGTGTTTATCAATTGTTTAAATATTTGTATCATAAGTTAGAAATATATAAGTACATATATATCGATATAATCTAGAATGCATTGGCAATCTTTCATATATCTATATACGTACTGTATATGTATGTATGTTAAAATATATTATAGTAGCTTATGTATGTTAAATATACACGTCTTTGTTAATATTTATCTAGCATAAGTTGTGGTAAGCACGTAAACGTAAACTACGAAAAATTATATTTAAATTTCACTATAATCATATCTGTATATCTTTGATAAAATTTTTAGCTAATACCTTAACTAACAGTATCTGGATTGTATTATAAAAATTGTTGCTTTCCACAATTGGAGATATACATTCAATGGAATTGCCTTTATTGACAAAATTTATAGACTTAAAATGCATATGAATATATTAATATTACTAATTGTATTACTAATTTACATCTATAAATGTATCTACCTGGAGAACAGGGAGTGAAAAGAAAAATACTTAATATAGAGTTACTAATGCTACTGCTTTTAAGTTTTAATTTTCAATATTTATATACGGCGACGTCGTTTCATTAATATTGGACTTACAGGGTCAGTTAATGGTCGTTTATCAACTTTCGGTAAACTCATTTTATATTTACGAATCGGTTGGGCTTTATGAACAGTTTTTTTTCTTAGCAGAGCAATTTCTTCCTCTTCTTGTTTTTTTTTAGCAGCAATTTCCTATCATATGGTATGTATTATAATCTCGAAAAACTAATATTATTAAAATGAAAATTACAGATCACCTTTACCATTTGTCTCTTTTCTTCTTTTAGTCTTTCTTTTTGTTTTATAGTGTCATTAAACTGCTTTCTTTCTTGTGCTCGAGTCACTGTATGCAAAAGTGGAGTTTTTGGCAATTGCAATTTCTTTTTCGTCAAACATGGTACAAATGGTGGTTTCTTCCACACCTGGTTTATGAGATATTTATTATTTGTTAATATTAAGTGTTGGTTGATTAAAATACGCAGTTTATTTTGGACAAAGTTTGTATAAGAGTACATACTTACTTCGACATTCTTTTTAATTTGCTTGTCGCAATTGTCAGATTTTTGTATTTTTTGATTTAAGTCATTACTCGTTAGCTTATTTTTATCATTTGCTAGTTTATTTTCTTTATTCTTATTGTTATTATGATGATTATTAATAGTTTTGATTCGAGATTTTATAAAGTTAGGCACAGGATTTGCCCGAAATATTTTCACTTTAGTCTCTTCTTCTAGTAACTAAGATTAATAGAAAAGAAATACAATATTTACTTTATAATAATTTGTAAAATTAAAAGACATGATCTTCATACTTTTTTAAGACGTTCTTGCTTTTGCTTTTGCTTATGTTGTTCCCGTAAATCGAACGTGAATGGATATACTTCGACTTTCTGCGGCTTTTTCACTTTATTACAAACTTCGTTATTAATTTCAAGTTCCTAAAATATTCAGTTTTTTTTTTTTTTTTACAAATCAATCATAATTAAAATACTGAAAATTAGGTATTTAAATTGACGTACCAGTTTAATATTATTACTACGAACTACATATTCTTCTGTTTCCTGTTTCTGTGAATCATTGTTTATGCACGTTTTCTCGTTATCATCATCATTGTATTTTATATTAGACAAAGAGATATTATTGAAAGATCTATAAAGAGATTAAATTATATTTTTTATTATTAAATAAAAAAAAAAAGTAGCCTGAGACTGAGATTTAAAGAAATCCAATGCTGTAATTCTCACGCAATCAATGTATTGTCGTCTGCAATTGTATTCGGATATTTTGTGTTTGCAAAATTCGAATTTGGCGTGCTCACAACTGCAGTGAATTTATCTGAAAATACCCATCGAGAAAAAAATTAATATCAGAATTCTTTCGGACATGTTATTCGATGTTTATAATTGTTTACTTACTGAAAAACGAATCTCCTATATCTGGTAGATTCGTAAAATCCACAAATTGCGGAGATTCGATCACATCCCATTTCTCATCTTTATTCGTGTTCCTATACGTGTTCCTATACGTGTCATTTTCAAATTCCGATTTTTTATTTTTCGTCTGCCACAATTTTCGAGGTGGCACCTTTAAATTATCTTTCGTGTATGCTGTCGGCGTCAATGTTTCTGCATGTTTTGTGCTCATTGATGCCGAGGATGCCAGCATTGTCTTTAATTCTAAGAGAATTCAATCCGCTAGAAAGTGAATTTTTTTACAGCATGCAATTAACCAATTTTTAAAATCTCACATGAAATTCTCACTACACTCCATTTAGAAGTCATTCATTTGTACTTTACTTTGAAACTGACAGATATTTCGCAACTGTAACACGTTTGTGTATAAACAGGTCAAATTGGAACTCGAAGGAAATGACTGAGAATAACAATGATTTAAATAGTATTACAAACATTGCTTCGCTTCGCGCCAGAATACACGAAGGAAGAAATTGAATTTTGCGATCATTCGTTGAAACAGGAAATATAGATAATAAAAAGGTAGTTTATGCCCATAAAAAAATGTACTTCTTATTCAAGCTAATAAATTGATTTATTTTCATTGATGATAAATTTAGATAAGTTCACATAACGATAGATAAATTATTTTCTCGGCTCGCTATAACGTAACAGGGTTTTCTTTTTATATTAAACGTGATCATTGATATTCCGAACGCGTGAACATTTCTATGGATACAAATGTTCACAACAAAGCACGAGTCACTAATATCGTTCGGCCGTTCAGCGAGTTTTCCAAACAGATTTTTCGATATGATCGATCTTTCTTCCATTCGAAAATTACAATTGACACAGTGCTTATGCGGGCTCGTTCGGAGAAAGAATTCTTTTAAAAAATTCAACATATTAATGACAATATGACATTGATCTGTTACGCTGCACTATAGTACGGTATAGTGCATAGAATCCATATGGCAAACGTTTAGCTAGGAGCACTAATAATGCCTTTTAATTAAAAATAACAGTTTGTCTAAAGCATTAAAAAGAATCCTCGAGCAATGCACGGTTTACGGTAAGAAAAAATCATTTTTAATTGTAAGTGTATCTAAATGCGACAGAATATGCAAATTACGGAATACGTGGATGAATCGTTTTTTTATTCTTTTACGCAATTTTCAGAGCCGATCATAACATTGGCGGTCTTGGAACCAGCCGATGGTTGGAAGCGCTTTGGGAACCAGCAGCCCGATTATACACTTTACCAAATGCACTTGACATGCTTGATGTGAGCGGTGACGGAGATGCTAGATTAGTCTGTGCCGACTTAGGGACTCTCAATGTCAATTCGCCTAAAGTAATGAAATAGAATTTTCTCTATTCTAGGTTTTATCCGTATCACTAATTGTTATCTTATTTTTAGATACGAGTTTACAAAGGAGGCGACCAGATAACAGAACACAACATGGTAGATCCACCCTGTGGAGTGGTTGGTTTTTACACAGAGAATGGAGAATCTCAGTCGTCCGTTTTAGCAGTGGGTGTTGGTTCTAGTGTCTACATCTTTAAAAATATGAGACCGTATTTTAAATACTGTTTGCCGCATATTGACGTGCATCCAAAGGAACGAGAGGTACAAACAATTTTGAGTTGTAACATTAAGTTTTATTTTCCTTTATTTTAAGTTATAAGAATAAATTTGTTAATAGATTTGGCACAAAGCTGGATTGGACGAAGAATTGAATGTATTAACACTAGCTGATGAACTAGATTTATTGTTAAAGGAACTTGGAGCGGGATTCATCTCGCCGCGAACATTGAAATTTCTATCCATGGATCCGAATTTGAGAGCTAGCTTCGCGGAACAATACAAAAGAATCCCACTGGTTAAAAGTAACGCTTTAACCGCGATTTCAGTGATTCGAAGGGATTCGTGGAACGATCCAGCGTGTAGTTGTCTCGTGCTGGGCACGGAATTCGGAGAAGTACTTATTTTAGATCCACGGTAAAACTTCTTTTCTTGACGACGATAATTTTCTATATGAATAATTGAAAATTATAAAATTAAATGCTCCTTGCGATATATCTGTTCCAGAACATTTTCTGTCATGGATAAACATTTATTGGAATGGCCGCCAGTTGCTTTTGCGTGTACAGGTTTATGGACCGGCGATGGAAAAGTATTAATTGTTGGAAGAGATGGTAAAATAGGAGTGATAAAAAGAGGAAGTCCCGTGAAACTTTGGGAAAAATTACCATCGCCTGCTGTAGCTGTTTCGCCCCTGAATAATGAAGGCATTGCCGTTACTACCATGGATGGTACTTTGACCGGTTTTTCCAGTAAGGTACGTGTAATATTTTTAGAGAATCTATAATAAATAATAATATATGAATCATATAGGGAATTAAAATTTGGCATGTTCGTGTCCCCGGTGCGATTTTGGACTCGGTAAGTTTACCAGTTCCACAAATTGGACTTTCTTTGCTCGCTGTGAGTACAGCTGGTTATGGTATTCGCGTGTACGATGCAAAACATCACGTGGACACGTTAAAAATTATGGAACCAGTTTCTGCGATGAAGGTAAATTACAAATATTATTTTCCTAAACTAAATCCCAATAATATAAAAATATTGTATTGTACTTTTTCTTCTGAAAACAGTACGGTAAAATGGGCCAAGAAGAACGTACGATGGCAATGGTCACCGTGGGAGGCGGACTCTGTGTAAAAATTCTAAAACGGACCGCAGACTTCAGTATTCACAATGCAATGTCTAATCTACCCTTAAATGATGGCTCTAAATTTTTAGTACCAAAGAAAACACGACTGTTTGTTGAGCAAACGATACGAGAAAGATCGGAAGCGAAGAAGATCCATTCTACTTTTCAGCAAGGTCTTCTCCGACTGAGGTTGATGGTGGCCAAAAAAGTAATGGAAACCCTGAACGACAGTCAAGGTGCGGGACCACATCCGCTTACCATGGAAGCTACTGTTTTAGGATTGGGACCGAATTACCAGATTCGTATTTTATTGACGAATATATCGGATGAATTGTCCGATACGGATTTGTATATCGTTTGCAGAACCGAGAATACGAATGTGAAACCACGGGTGATGGATGTATCTCTGTTACCGAGCGGTATTCCGATTCCTATAGTCCTCAATGCGATTTTGAAGGGTAGAATATCGGGAAGAGTGGAGATCTTATTGTGTAAAAAATCGAAAACGAAGCCAGTAGCTGTGACGGCGGTAGTTCTACCTGCGGCTGAAGAAGATATCGAAATTTAATCTTCTAGAAAGTAGAAGAGATATTTTTTATGTGATTTATATAAAAGTGTTCATATATCATATGTATATAATATTATAAATGTGTAAATATTGATTAGAACATGTTGAAAGAAAGTTTTGTAATTGTATTATAAAAATATGTTATGTCAAAACAATTTACCGCTTTTTCTTCTTATTCTTTCTTAATAATTTTTGTTCATCTAGCGTCTATATTTTATGTTTATTCTTATCACTTATTTAATGTGTATTTTGCACAAAAATAATGCTTTGAAATGTTTAAAATATCGCGGTATTCCTATTAGATGGTCGGTAAGATCAGTGTCGTTTATATCCATTCCACCCTTTGCTATTTATCGTATATATATCGTCTACTACAGCTGATCGAAGGAAACCTATATAAACTAGACTAAACACGCAAACATTGCGGGCTAGCCGCAGTTATTTATTGTCTGTGCAAGATGTACAGTCAACATAGGAACGAGAAAATGATCGATAATTAATAAAAAGTGGATGGAGACATCCGATGGAAAGAAATATCTATTTTTCAGTAATGTCGAAAAAAATTATCATGCTTCCGATATGTTATTTTCCAAGACGATATCTCATGATTCTTCAATTTCACGTCCTTTTAATCTTGTTACTTTTTCCAGGTAAATTTATAAACAAATTTTTCTGTCTACGAAATTGATATTAATTTTTCTTGATATATTTATTTTTCAACAATTTTGAAGTATTACATTTTTTGTTTAAATTCATTCTGTTAATATTCATTCAAGCATGATAAATATTGTAATTTTTATCATTATGTAAATAGATTTGTATTTAACATAGGACACACAAATAATTTATATTTATTATAGCTAAAGAATGTACTATGCCAGAAGCAAGTCAAGAAGGATTACTACATTCATTCAAAAGTTATTCAGATATAGCTATGTTTCATTATACAGTTCCGAAAGAGGTACTCAGAGCTACTTGGCAGTTTGCAGCATTTATGGATGGGCAAGATTGCCCAGAAAGAAAAGTACATATGTAAATATTCATTTTTGATTTCATGAACATATGTATAAAGATTCATAATATATCTATTTTTACTATTGTAATTTTTAGATACCTGCAATGGGGCAGTTACCCTGTGATATCTATAAATAATGATACATTTCCTAATGATATGTATCATAAGCGTAATCATACCATTATAGTTTCTGCAGTTACAACATTTGAACCAAAAACCACTGCAATTATACCAGTTTATGGACCAGAAGCTGGAGATTGGTTTGTAGGAGCGTATTTGTCTCATTGGGATGAAAAGGTTCAACAACAGGTATATCTTGATTTTTATCTTTCCTCTAATGTTTTTTTTTCTTTCCAAATTAATTTATATTAATTGTATAATTGTTTACTTTAGGGACTTGGCCATAAATGCCATTATAGTATAGGTTCTGTAGCTGTATGGACACAAATCAATAGTATTGAAAATATTCCTATTGGTTACCAACAAACATTAAGAACAAAAGAAACTACTTCTTATTACAAGTAATTATTATATTCAATCTATTATGAAGATCGAGTATAACTAACATGTTGCATTCTCATTTAGGATATACATCCCATCAGGAACATGGAATTTTCGTGTAGATATTTGGGGTTGTAACTTTACTGTGCATAAATCTCACAATGTACATGAACTTTGTATCAAAAATATGGCTTTACAAGGACGTTCTTTACCTGTTTTCAATCACTCTGAATCACTTAAAATTGGAAATCTAACTATGCTAGATTCATATACCTTTACAGAGACTTCCCCTTATGAAGATAGTTATTATTATTTGATGATTATTTCAGATAGTATTATTGAAGTAAATGTGAAAGTAATAACCTCAGGTAAATTTTATCATGTAGTTCTTTTTTATTTAATTAACAAGTTAGTTTTATCTTAACTTATTTTTCAGAATGCCCAATCAGGATAACAGAAAAATCTTTTATAAGGCAGTATTTAGATGCACCTTCATTTTCTAAAGCATTAGCTCAATTGCATATGAAAGATTTAACAAAACATCATTTGCATCATGATGAAGATAAATATAATGAATCATTTTATAATGAAAGTGATGTTATGAAAAATCAGTTTGGTACATTAGATGAAAATTTTGATGATCCATGTGTCCCAAGATATCAACTTGCTAGAATTAAGCACTCACAAACATTTTCAGGAGTCTACTTATTACAGGTATTAAGCATTTAATAATTATGAGTATAAGAAATAAATATAAAATTATGAGTATAAGAAATAAATATAAAATATACTAATTTTTAAATATGTACGTATAAAAATTCGATTTTCAGGGTAGAGAATGGTTAACTTCTTGGGTGATGTTAACGGATGTGCATCCAGTAATCACACAGTTTGATATTTTACCATTAGTTGATATTGGTGGTACTCTTGATATAAGTGCACATTTGGAAATGGATAAAGTAAACAACAATGACTAAGACTCTTGTACTTTTGTATTAAGACTAATTTTATATATTTTTTATTTACAGGTAGCAACACGGCAATTAGTAAAAGTTGTACTTTGTGTTCAACGTGGACGAATTCCCAAAAAAATTAAAAATAATATTATATGTAAAAATTCCAAAATGTCAATGATCTTGTCTTCATTTGACAAACATGATGGAACTTTATTGATACCATATCCACAGCCAGACACTTGGTATATTACTTTAGATGCAACATGTTATTTTAATGGGTAAGATCATTTTTGAAAATATAAATTTAAAATACTAAAATTACAATTAAATTATGCATATAAAATGATGATATTATTAATTAAATAGAAGATCCGTAAATTGTGAAATGGAAGAAATTTTAGTATCACTGGATATACGAACTAGACAATGTGTGTTTGCTGGAAATTATCCATGTGGTCACCATGGAATTTGTCAAGAAGTTCATCGTGATATTCTTTATTATACAACATGCAAATGTTTTGAAGGTCTGATTATTAGAATAACTAACTATTATTTATACATATAGCTTCTTTTACCATATCGATATATTGTATTACACAGGATACAAAGGATGGGGATGCACTGATGCTACTAGTGCCAATCCAGAATCTTCTATTCTTATAACAACATTGATGCTCACTTTAAGTAATGGTTTTTTTATACCTGCTATATATTTAGCTGTTAAGCGCGGATTATATACTGAGGGATTAGTTTATTTGGCAACTATGTTGTTTTCATCTCTATACCATGCTTGTGATCAACATGTTATGACTTATTGTGTTGCTAAATATGAAGTATGTAAATTGTTTTATAACAATTACTTCATATTGTTTCTTCCATGAAATAGTTTTATTATATAAAATTTATTTCAGGTTTTGCAATACAGTGACTTCTTTTCAAGTATATTAGCATTTTGGGTAACACTTGTTGCAATGGCTGAAATACCAATTCGTTTTGTATCATTGTGTCATATGTTTGGAGTTCTTATTATAGCTTTTGGTGTTGAATCCAATAAAACAAGTCTGACCAGTATTTTAGTACCTTTAGGGATGGGCATTATGATTCCAGTAAGTAATTTAGCAGAAATATTTATAATAGTATTATTTCTTTTATATATCTTTTTATATATTTTTAGATGGGAGCATATGCTTATCGTTGTTTTCACTTAAAAAAGTTGAAAAGACCTAATAGAATTTCAAAATTATTAGCAGGTTTAACATTGGCGATTGTAGGTTTATTGATCTTTTCGTTAGTTGAAACAGAAGCTAATTATCAGGTATATACAATATAAATTGTAAAATATCAAGAAATATGAAAAATTATTTTTATTATTATAAAAAGTATTTGTATTTTTTTTTGCAGTATGTTCATAGTGCTTGGCATATGATAATAGCGATCTCATTAATATTTCTTTTGCCGCCATCACGATTACAACAAATTGGTTCTTCAGGTACAAGCTCATTTAGCGACGATAGTGAATTACTTGATTATAAGGACCCACCGGGCAGTCCAATTTTCACAGTAACAAGTGGTCAGGAAAATCTGGTAATTGCGTCAAACTGAAAATTACAGTAAAAATAAGTAATATAAAAAACAAGCCAAATACGTACTATTATTTAAGTTACTTGTGCCAAAAGATTGTTCTAATTCTCTAAATAAAAAATAGATTATAACATTACGATAATCAAAATTTAAAAAATGAATGTACATGTATAAGTATCATGTACATGTATATAAAATATTTATATATATAAATTTTATAATAGTTCCTAAGTAAAGATGCATAAATGATTATAGGGTAATCTATGTTGAGGTTTCCAACTTAACACAGCTCAATATACAACTACTAGTTTTAACTGTAAAAGTTGAATGAACTTACAAATGGTGCTATTCTATTCTTACTATATTGTTTTAAAAATATAATCAATAATACTAATAGAAATATTTTTATATATTTTTAATATTGTTGGAAATTGTATTGTATCATATTAAATGAGTCGCGAAAAAAAGTTAACATCTATTTTTTCTAGAAAATTACGTCATTAAGTAATACTATCAGAACATTGATGACGATTTATTGGATTTATTACGTTACTAATAATTATATTTCATAGTTTTCATTATAGTCATAGTATGAGTTTTAGAAAAAAAGGAAATTTGTTAATTAGAGAACTTGTTACAATATATATTATATATATAAATACAGATACATTTATATGTATTTTTATATTTGTTGATAGTACTTAATATACTATTTTGCTTCATTTATAAAATTTACTTCTTTAAAAAACATTTTTATATGTAATTTGTATATTTTATGTATTTAGTAATACAGAAAAGTATTAATTGCATAGATTACCCTATATATATTATCATTGATAAGTTACATCCAAAAATATTAATTGCATTTTATTTTTTATCTTTTAAATATGTTTTGTTATATACAAAGAAATATAATATATATCACGTGCATGTTCTGTGTAACTACTATAACTTTGGGAAATATGAAAATGTAATGCAGTATATGTATCTTAAGGAGATAGAGAAACATATTATGTCTAACATTATTACATCTATTTTTTACATTTAGTCGTGTTCAAACTTGCGTAAGGGACCACAAAATGTAATTAAAGGTATTAATAGCATATTAGGAAATGAAAGTATGAATGTCGTGCCTAAATATAGGTAAATTAAATTATTCGAGAATAGTATCCAAATTTCAAAAATTAAATAATTCAATGTTCGCAAGTTATCATTTGATTATTATTTGATATAAAAATTTATGTATAAAAATCTAACAGTAATTATTTTGATTTACCTTTAAACATTACTTAAAAACTTTCAATTCGAAATAGTAAATAAGAAATTGAGAATTGCTATACACATTATATGAACGTTATTTAATATTAAAAATCCCAAAGTTAATTAGTTTTAATGCAGAAGATACACCCATTTTCTCTAAAAAGATTATACATATGTATATATGTATGTATGTATTTATGTGTATATATATATATATATATATATATATATATATATATATATA